AAAACAATTTAAACAAAAGATTACCTGTGGTTTGAGGAAAGCATTGGTCCAGGGAGCAGGAAGAGACATGGTCAGCAACAGCCAAAGGAATCATCCAGGCAGCAGGCAGGAATATGCTCCACAAACATGTCAGGAAGAGTACAGACAGCATGCAGGCATCCAGGCATCAGGCAGGAACATTGTCCATAAAATATCCTGGGACATTACAGGCAGCAGGCAGATTTGGGCAGAACAGCCAAAGTATTGGTCCAGGCAGCATTCAGGAACATGGTCCATAAAATGACCTTGGTCATTAAAGGCAGCAGGCAGATGTATGGTCAGCACAGCCAAAGTATTTGTCAAGACAGCAGGAAGGAACATGGCCCATGAAAATTCCTGATTCATTACAGGCAGAAGGAAGAGATATGGTAAGCACAGCCAAAGTGTCTGTCCAGACAGCAGGCAGGAACATGGCCCAAAAAAGGTCCTGGGTCAGTGCAGGCAGTAGGCAGAGATATGGTCAGCATAGCCACAGTTTTTGTCCAGGCAGCAGGCAGAAACATCAGGCTTAGGGCCTCTGTCAGGTAGTACCTGAGCACAGGGGTAGAGGCTTCATCCCACCCAATCTCTTTGAAGTCTCCAGACTAACAGACCCTGTTCTGGGAATTAAAAAACCCGGAGAAAACAAAAAACTGTTTTTCTCTACTCGGGACTTTATTCTGAAGCCCCTCACATATGTGAGACCCCTGTGTTATTTTGAATCCCACTACTTCAGTAGCAGGGCAAAAGATCAATCCAAGCAGCAGGCAAAAAAAACCACAGGCCAAGGTTTTCTCATGATACAGGTGGCAGAAAAGGGGCAGACTGGTATAGAAATTGTCTAGACAGATGTGATAACCTTTTAGAAAAAGGAGAAAAGCCAGGTCCCTGACAATTTTTTCGCTTGTGCCAATGTAGGGCACTCAGGGGACTGGAACTGGGAATCTTTGCCTTCATACACAAGGAAAGCAAATAAATATCCCATGGTTCTTCACAAAGCTTATAGAGCTTTACTCCATATATGGCCCTTTTGCTTGGAATGTATTGCTTGATTCCCAGCTGGCCAGTGAAGTGGACAAGGAACACATCCACACATATGTTTTGGTCAGCGACATAGAGTTCAGCCAATCTTTGGGAAAAAAAAGAAGGGTGAATTTTGTATAATTTGTCATAGCTGGAATGATCTCGGGGAGGGCACTGGGTTTTGTCACTGCGATGAAGACAGCGCATGATCCTCTCATAGTGTGCCCTGGGCATTACAGCATAATAAATGGGCATGTGGTGGATGGAGTGGGTGGACCAGTAAGCATGGTCCAAAAATAACTTGAACTCCAGTGTAAGATGTCTCCATTCAAACGGATGGGCATAGGATGAACTGGGGTTGTTAGCAATATTTTGTTGGGCAAAAAGGTTAGTCTGGTCCATAATAAACTGAAGGAAACTGTCAGGCAAAAATATATGAAAAAACAATGAGTTTCTGAAAAATTTCTGCGTTGGCCTGCACACCTGGCTGTGACAGGAGGAATACTCCTGGAGGGCAGCCATAATATGTTGGCAAGAGCATCTGGGAGGTATGTTTGGGCCCTGATTCTTTGGGTCTGATGTGATATTTCAGTGCTGGTACTGGGCCTTTCATCCAGGGCTCTAGTTTGCACTGCTGATGGCTGCCTGGTTTTCAGAGAGCTGCATCCTTATACGAGGGACCCTTTGCTCCTCTGCTGATCCACTACTTTCGATGGGTTCATACACCGAGTCGAAATCTGACAGTGAGAGCTCCCTGCTGCTCTCATCCATCATGCTGAGGATTTGAAACGCCTCTTCACTAGTGTACATTTTTTTTTACATGTCAGGCTCTGGGACAGGTAGACTGCTGATGGTGGCTGTAGGACGGGTACTTTGCTGATGGTGGCTGTAGGACGGGTACTCTGCTGATGGTGGCTGTGTGATCAGTACTCTGCTGATGGCGACACTGATGGGCGATGTGAGACAGGTGCACTGCTGATGGGCACAGATGAGCGACAGGTACACTTATGGGCACCAGTAACACTGTTGATGGGCGACAAGTGCACTGATGGGTGACAGTAACACTCCTGATGGGCAACAGATACCTTGATAGTTGACAGTAACACTGCTGATGGGCACTGTGACAAGGGTATTGTGTTGTGCAGGTACTGTAGTGTGTTCAGAACAGTAACTCACTGTTTGCAAACTCTCCTCTCGTCACACAGGATATGTGTGTAAGGAGAGGAAGCTGGTAACAAAACATACTCACAAAATGAGGTGCATGTAAAAGCCAATAAAACCACTAGGATGGCCAAAAGTGATGGTAGAGTATCCGACTGGTGGTGAAGTCGACCTACTGACGCGTTTCAGGGACATATCCCCTTCCTCAGAGATAGAGGCATTTTGAATGCCCTAATATATAGGAGTGTGACAGGTGCCGCTGGAGTGCACCCATGTATGGGAGTGCGCTGGCCAAGCGGGTGGCCGCAAATACGGAGACTGATAGCTAGTGACAGGAAACAAAGAAGATCATTTATCTTCTCTATTATCTTATTTATCTTCTTTGTTTTCTGTCACTAGCTCTCAGTCTTGGTATTTGTGTCCAGCCGCTAGGTTCCACTCTTCCAGCTCTCTCCCACACATGGGTGCGTTCCAGCGGCCACTTTCCGGTTTCACTGAATATTATGTCATGATGACACAGTTCCGTTGAGAGACTTCCAGTTCATGGAACACACGTCTCCATTAGCGTGCACTCCAGCTCCCATTATTGACCACTGATGCTATGACATGTCAGTATACATACTAATATGCACCAAGTTAAGCACCTTGATTTTTGAAAGGTGCCTCTCTCTGTATATGGTGGGTCTTTCTCCCTATAAAAGTACTGTGTATACTTATTACATATATACAAGATATGATTTACAATATTTATATTTGTGTTTTGAGTTAAAGGGCCAGGCACAAATGAGTACTATGTACTTCAGTTTTAGTTTCTCATTTTTATTTTTATTTTTTTTTCATTTTCACTTTTATTTTCTATTTATTTTTTTATCGATCCCCTCCTTCTCTGAGTTAGAGGGGAGGGGTCTTGCTAAAGGTGATTCCTGAGACACTCATGTATATTAGGGCATTCACCTCTGTGGGCTCTAGCTCTGAGGAAGGGGACATGTCCCTGAAACGCATTAGAGGATCGACTTCACCGCCAGTTGGATACTCTGCCATCACATTGGGCCATCCTAGTGGTTTTATTGGCTTTTACATGCACCTCATTTTGTGAGTATGTTTTCTGTCTTTATATTTTTAATAAACCTTGGTTAATGCGTTAGATGTTTGCGCCACCTGTGTGCTTCTCCAGTTTTGCTTTTATCTCCCAGTCAGAGGAGGGTGGCATAACCAAGATTTTACTCCAAGGCCACAAATACGCTTCATTCCCTGTTTTTTTCCTGCCATTGACCCCTTTGAGGCGCTGGAGAGGTTGTTCTTTCAGTCCAGTTTGAAACACATCAAAACCTTTGAAAACAAAGCATACAAACATGTTCCTAATGAAAGGCGTACAAAAACAGGACTAATGCTAAGAAAGGTATATTTGTCAGCTGCAGTTAGCATCAAAAGGGTTACAAAAACTCAGAATCCACATACCAATAAGGTAGCAATCGATCACAGAAGCATAATTATTAATTAAACACCTATGTTTCAAAAGCCTCATGAAGTGACACAGTCAGCAAATGTGAGCAACAACCCGAGTAAGAATCCCCTCCAGTACTGCAGAAAATTGAACAGAACATCACTGGAGTTGAAATCAGTGATGTATCCTCTGAAAAAGGAAGAAGCTGAACCATCTACTGAACTACAGGCAAAACCTTTTTCTTGGATAGAGTGGAGATGGATTAGAACACTTACTAGGTTTTTACTGCTGTTTGTGCCCCTGTTTCGCAGATTCACCCTCTCTTTACCATTATCATTGAAAGTAAAAAAAAAGTGTAAAATCCCAAATTGTGGGTTGTCCCCAGAAAAGTAATAAGGGGGGACATCTTCCAATGGGGACACTACTTCTGGTGACCTGGGGGGGACCCCAAGGGATTCCCTCACTGCCCATGTTTTGGCTATGAGACAGGAAGTGAAGGTTTATCTCCCTATTGGGGCACAGATGACAAAAAAAAAAATGTGACAGGAGTTATGACCCTCCCTTTCTCTATCCAAAATGAAAAAACATTTTTCCTATAGTTAAACTTTAAAGCTACAGATGAAGAGATAACATCTCTCAAACAGCTCTAAGCCTGAATGTAATAGTGCGTAATGCTACCCCCTAAGGAACCAATGGATTTTGGGCCCCCCCATTTCCTGCACAGCCAGGAAACACATATTTTTGGCAAACACACAAAATCAAGAATCAAGTCCATGGGCTACTTTCTATTGTTTTATTTAGGGGAAAACAACTTGGAAGGGATTAGGGGTTATGGGATGCCCAACTTGACTAGAAAGAATAGTTTGTGGACAAATTTTCTGTGTTATGTACAAACAAATGGATCCTGGACGTTACTCTAGCTGGAGTGGTATCAGTCCTTTTCAGGATTAGTAACAATGTTTCTTTAACTAGCTGCCGACCGCAGATAGCCGAATGACAGCTGCACTGTGGCCGGCCAGTTCTGAGTGGACGTCATACGACGTCCTCCCAGAACGCGCTCTCCTGCGCACCCCAGGGGGCGCGCGCACCCGGCGATCTCCGTAATCGCTGTGTCCTACGGACACAGCTGATCACGTGATGTGGTAAAAGGCCAATCACAGCGGCCTTTTACCACGTGATCAGCGGTGTCCAATGACACGCTGATCAGAGGGAAATGCAAGTGCCGGTTCTCGGCTGCACTTTCCTCACGCTGTCAGATCGTGAGGAAAGTACTGCCGAGAACCGGCAGTTGTCAGAGCTGGGATCGGCACCGATCATCAGGGCACTGATGATCAGTGCCCTGATGATCGGTGCACAGCAGTGCCACCCGCAAGTTCCACCCACCTGTGCCCAGCAATGCGCCCACTAGCTCCGCCCACCCGTGCCCAGCAGATCACCCACCTGTGCTCAGCAGTGCACCCACCTGTGCCCAGCAGTGCACCCACCTGTGCCACTCTGCAGTGCCACCTACCTGTGCCCAGAAGTGCCACCTACCTGTGCCCAGCAGTGCCACCCACCTGTGCCCACCCACCTGTGCTCACCAGTGCCACCCACCTGTGCCCACCCACCAGTGCTGCCCACCAGTGCCACCCACCAGTGCAGCCCAGCAGTGCTGCCAGTCAGTGCCACCAGTCAGTGCCCAGCGGTTGTGCCAGTCAGTGCCGCCAGTCAGTGCCCAGCAGTGATGCCAGTCAGTGCCATCTATCAGTACCCATAATCAGTGTCACCTATCAGTGCCGCCTATCAGTGCTGCATATTAGTGCCGCCTATCCGTGACACCTCATTAGTGCTATCAGTGCCGCCTATCCGTGCCACCTCATTAGTACTGCCTATCAGTGCCCTTTAGTGCTGCCTATCAGTGCCCATCAGTGCCGCCTATCAGTGCCCATCAGTGCTGCCTCATCAACGCACATCAGTGAAGGAGAAAAAATACCTGTTTGAAAAATTTTATAAAAGAAACAAATAAACTTTTTTTTTTTTTCAAATTTTTTGCATTTTTTTTTATTTATAGCGCAAAAAGTAAAGCGCCCAGTGGCGATTAAATACCACCAAAAGAAAGCTCTATTTGTGAGAAAAAAATGATCAAAATTTCATATGGGTACAATGTTGCATGACCGCGCAATTATCAATCAAAGTGCGGCAGCGCTCAAAGCTGAAAATTGGCCTGGTAAATAAGGGGGTATAAGTGCCTGGTAGGCAAGTGGTTAAGGAGCACTAGGTCCCCTTGTGTGAACTCTCACAAAGTACCAAAGTGAGAAAATACCTGCCCAATTGGGTGATTTGGATAAGTGTCACAGAACAAGGGATTAGGTTAGCTGTAATACTGTTCCCGTGAAAGCATGCTGGATATTGCATCTGGCAGCCTTCTCCCTTGTAGGTCCTGGGGGTGTAGAGGTACTCACTCTGTCCCTTGTATCCTGCTGCTTTGGACAAGATGCTTATTCAAGCCTTTTAGCTGTGCTAGTCTTCCCATGCTGGGCAGAGAGCCTCCTGCATAGGACTTGTGGTGAAGTTCCCTCTTTCTAGCTTCATCTCCTTCCTTCCACCTAAGCTGCAGCCTGGAGACAGATTCCCCCCTCCCCCTTCCCGGGGGTCCCCTCCAAGGCCTCACAGTTCTCAACACTCCATCTTCCACCCGATCACCAGACTCCCCTGCAGACTATGCTCTTTCATATTTATGGGCCAAACTACCACACTGTCAATCCTCCTCCCTGGGATTGGTTAGACTCCCATGAATATGCAGATCTTGGTCTCCACCCCTCTGCCCACTAATTTATAGTTTTCAAGTTTCCATGGGCCTCCAGAACCAGGGGGAGGCGATAGAGACCTGACCTGTAGAGCCCTCCAGCATGACCTAAGCTTGATCCCCACAGACATGTTCACTTCAGTTACTTCTATGAGCCAAGCTAAATTTACCTATCTAGCGCCACTAGAGAGTGCTACAAGTGTAAACACAGCTTACCTAAAGCTGGAAGATGAAGATCTTTTATCAAAGAATGGAAAGTGCAGATAAACATTGGGACACTTTTCTACATTGCAACCACTATACATCCAGATATAGGAGCTGCCATAAAACCCAACAAAGAGGGCTAGAATGCAAATAAAAGTGTAATGCAGTACCTAAAGCAGCCTCAAGACATAAACCTGAGATTGTTTGTGAATGCTGACCCTGAAAGAAGTTTGCACTTTTATTAGAAGTTGTTGTTAAACAGGGGTGTTAGCATGATGGTCCTGCAGACATAGGTACAACAAAGATTCTCATATTATACCGTGATTACAGTATTTTGTCACTAGATGGTAATGTCAGCTGAAATATTTGAATAATGTAATATTCCTTCTTATGTGACTATGGGAAAAGTTCCTGTTCCTATTTTTCTATGTGTGCCTGCTGTTTTCCAACAAAACAAACAGGGCTCAGCCATTTGTCTAGCAGCATCTGCCTGGTAAGAAGACATATTTGTAGCACCTTTCAAACAATGAAACATCTATTTGGTCTTGTTCACACTTGACTAAATTTCTAACTCTTGAAAAATGCTCCTATACCTTTAGTATAGGCATTAGACAGGTGTTAATGAGCTTAAGCATTAAAAAAGCTCTCCAAATGCCCTATGTGCAGGTTTGAAGTGTTTTATAAGCATTTTACAAACATTTTAAAACCACACCACAAATGCCTATAATAAAGTGTAATGTTTTTAACATGCTGTAACCGCACTGCAAATGCCTATAATAAAGTGTAATGTTTTTAACGTGCTGTAACCGCACTGCAAATGCCTATAATAAACTGTAATGTTTTTAACGTGCTGTAACCGCACTGCAAATGCCTATAATAAACTGTAATGTTTTTAACGTGCTGTAACCGCACTGCAAATGCCTATAATAAACTGTAATGTTTTTAACGTGCTGTAACCGCACTGCAAATGCCTATAATAAACTGTAATGTTTTTAACGTGCTGCAACCGCACTGCAAATGCCTATAATAAACTGTAATGTTTTTAACGTGCTGCAACCGCACTGCAAATGCCTATAATAAACTGTAATGTTTTTAACGTGCTGCAACCGCACTGCAAATGCCTGCAAGAGCGTTTGTGGAGCACCACCATAGATTTGAATGGGAGGCGTTGAAAGTCTTCGAACTCTTCCTGCTCGACATGAGGCTTCAATTTTGAAGCAACGCAACACTAACGTTTCATGTTTTGATAATGAGAGCAGCACTGTGTGCTGCCCATAGTATCATTTGCATAGGCATTTTAGGAGTGTTAAAATCGCCCCTCAAACACCTGTTTTCAATGCCAATGTAAACTAGGCCTTAATCTCTCAAAGGTAAAAGCTGCACTATTATAATAATTTAGGCATTGGGGTTTGGATTAAAAAAGATGCCCCTTGACTACACTGACAAGTTTAAATAACCACGGGGTGAAATTGATTGTAAATTCCTTTTATTTGTGTTGGTCTGATATTCCAACCACTGTATATGCATTATAAAAGTCTGTATCTTTAATGCCGAGGAAGCTTCTCTCTCCCTTCTTTTTAAATATACTGTAAAAAAAATGTTTTTATATATATATTTATACACACACATACGGTATATAAACAGTGATATAGCTTGTCAGAAAACTATTAATCCTAAGCCCTAAATGACAATTGCGTGCATCTCTGGATCTGTATGCTGGTACAGCTGTGTAGCTATCCAGTTTGTAAATAATGTAAAAAAGCTTGAGATGATTGGCACAGACTCGGGTCTGCTTGAGATACTAATCTTTGTGAATCACATTTATAAATAAAAACACCTCCAGTAAAAGAATCAGCGCCAGTAGTTAGAAATAAAGCAAGATTGTTCAAGTTGCCAATAAATAATGATATAGACAATGTTCGAGAAATGAAAAAACAAATCCAATCAAATCCTTGAGAGGTGTTTTTGTATGGCTAGAGATATGCTCTGTGATGACATTTAAATGCCATATATGATAACGGCAGCAGATGGTGTGACTGCCAGAGCTTAGCTAGGAGCTTTACTGGATGTTTGTAATTTGTAGCACCACTAATGCTGAAAGGTGAAAGTAAGATTAGAATTCATAAATGTTCTATTATTCCCTGGTACTATTGGGGACCAATCTTAGTCATTCTTTTCTTGGCAGTCCAGTTATATATCAGTTAAAATACTGAAATGAGGAGCGTGGCTCATGGAGTAGGACGCTCTGAAGGCTCTCTCTCTCCCAAACTCTGTGCATCCATCCTGATCCACTTCTCCTGGTGCCTTTACTTGACCGATACTTACATCTCCCTGCTTGGCATCTTCATTTCTGAGCTTCAACCATGTCTAGACAAGGTAAGGACTCACAAGTGGTTGCCGACCGGGTGGACCAAAATGGCAGCCGCCCGCAGTGCTTAGCTAGAGATGCGGCCCAGAAACATTTTGCTAACACTCCTGCTAAGGAGTCTACTACCAAGACAGCTGCCCTACTTCTCGGGTCTACTGAACCGGAGCCTGTAATCGAGCGGTCTGCAATAGTTTGGCTTGGAGAATCCGCTGATCCATCTAGCTGGGACACAAAGTGTAATTCGGCCCTCTTGCCTCCTAAAACAGATCCCCAGGACCGCGATCCCGCTGAACCTGCCCTTACAGAAATCCTTACGGTGGTTATTTCCTTCAATACTGCCCTTACTAACCTAACCACTGAAATCAAGAGTGTTAAAATAGAACTCATCTTGGTCAGACAAGACATGCAGAAGCTAAGATGCATGACAGCCTTGGACAGGAGACTGAATACAGTGGAAGAGGATCTGGCGCCCTTGCTTTGCGATATGTGCAATCACTTACTTCCAACCACGCGGCCTGCTTGGAAGACGTAGAGTATGTTTGCAGTAGAACAGGCCCACAGAGTGCCTGCTAGACCATCTGGACCAGGAGAGCCTCCTTGCCCATTCCTCTTTAAGCTCCTGAACTTTAAAAATCGAAATGCCATCTTGTTTCAAGCTAGAATGAAGTGGGATACTATGATCGTGGACAATGGATTTCATTTTACCCTGCCTTCTCTGCAAAACTGCAGCAACAGAGGGCAAAGTTCACAGAAGTCAAGAAATGCCTTAGGCGCTTTGAGGTCATCTAAGCTATGTTATACCCAGCACATCTCCGAATGGCTGCCCAAAACAACACACTTCTTTGATACTCCCTCTGATGCCTCCAATTGGCTTGATCAGATCAAGTACACTTTGAAGAAAACACTACCAACCTAAGCTGCACACCATAATGTTGTGTTTGTTCTTGTTCTGCACTTAGATGTGAGTTTCTTAAGTTTATGAACATCCCTGCTACATTATCCTGTAAGGCAGATTGAAACTTAATGGAGCACTCTATTGTGCATGTCTCACGACTCCATCAGTGAGATCAGCAAGTTCCTTCAGATCTGTGGCTGGTCCCTTGAAGTTGCGGCCCCCCCCTACCCATCTGTCCTGCAAGGACATTTTGTTCCTATCCAGTACCTCTCTCCAAGGAGAGTTTGGTTCTTACTACTTGTTTTTTTAGAAATCGATTTGCCC